TGAGGCAGCTGAGTGTGGCTTGACCGAGAGAGTGGAGGACTTGTGCCTGGGCCGGTACCGGGGGGGTTTAGGGTTTAGGGGTTTAGGGTTTAGGGGTTTAGGGTTTAGGGTTCAGGGTTTAGGGTCACCCTAAACCCTAAACACTAAACGCCATCACACTTAACAACAAAGAACCCTCAACCCTAAACCCTATATCAGGGTACCCATCACACTTAACAAAACACCCTAAAACCCTCAACCCCCTAAAGCCATCTTGGTTTGGCCTCGAAAGTTCAGGGTTATTCTTTGCCTTTTGTTTTGAGCCTTCAGGGTTTCAGGCTTTGGGGGATTTGAAGGTAACATTTTCCATGTTGTCGGGTTCCCTCGCAGCCTAAACTCAAAACCCTACACCCAAAACCCAAAACCCAAAACCCCAAACCCAAAATCCTAAACGGAACCCTGCAACAAACAGTGCTTCGAACCAGAAGCCCGAACATAAGCCAATCCCCATGGTAAACCACACGGAAACCCCTCAGACCCGACAGGACCCAATGCCCTGGCAACCTTATCATAACGAGAAGCCTGACGATGTAACCCTAAGGGTCCATATATACTTGGGCCCTAAAGTAGTCCCTATATAGGTACTTTGGGGCCAAAGTACAATATACTAGTTGGGCACATGGATCCATAGGGGAAGATGAACCCCAACCCCGAACACAACGAACGCTGAAGCTCACGTTCTACCTTAAGTCCTTAACTCTATAGATCACAAGGAAGGTGTGGAATAACGGCCTTCGGTCTTCGCGAATCTTGCCCTCTTGGCATTCGGCTCGCTTCCCGATTCTGCGAATCCTTCGAACGACCCTCCTTCTAAGGGCACAGAGACATCTCATGAATGGATGTGGGATGCAAAGCACTGAAGGACATGAAGTGTGTGCTGCATGCACATGGAGTTTCGGAGAAAAAGGGGACCCGACTGTTGATCTTGAGTACTAGGACCCTTAGTATAAAATGGCATCCTTAATACCTGGATCTCTCGACATGTTAAGAATCTCCCACAGGATTGGAGAGCCCTCAGCAAACAGGCAGGAATTGAGAGGAGGTTTTATGCAAGCTGTGCAGACCTGTCCAGGCTTTGACATTGACTACAGGCCTTCGGATGTGCAAGTTCAATCTGGAACTGAGACGTGGCATGGACAACGAAGAGTATTGGCCTTGTCTTTTCTCTACCATGCTCTCATGATTCGGATCTAACAACTCTTGTTTTCAGCGTTAGACATCCCTGATCAGCGATAGAGCCCCCCACCTGCCCAGAGACTCCAATACCCCTTAAATAAGGAATATACCTTAAATTATAGTAAGATTCCTAATCTGATTGAAGGTATGTTCCTTAATTAAGGGATATTGGAGTCTTTGGGTGCCCTGCTCTTCGGGATTCTCGTGCTTATGTGTCGTCCCGAGGTGACCGGGCTTTTTCGGAGCTGCTGGCTCCAGTGGATACAAACTTGGAGTTCTGCTTTTAATATAGGGGCCTTGAGAATTAGAATAGGGTTTAGGGTTTAGGATAGGGTTTTGGTGCTCTTTATACTGTAATTATAATAAGGAACCCCCAAAAACATACTGTAGGTAATTATTAAGGCCCCTATATCACATGCAAGAGGGAGGGGCTTTGAGGTTTTGACTTCCACGCAACAACACAGAAACTCTAAAAGGCAATCGCTGCTGGATTTCGAAGTTGAAGGACTAGCATGGTAACCGCCGAAAGAGGAAGAGCAGCGGGAACGGTATAGGAAGAAGCCTGGATGCCGACTCGTACTCATGTAGAATAAAAAAGAATTAGAACCATGAGCCTCCCAAACCCCTAAGCATTGAGGGTCTTGGGGTTAGGGTTTCCCAAACCTCAGCATTGCAGGACTGTGGCTGCAGCAGCCCGGCAAGGAAGAAGTATGTTAGCTGGCTTACAACTTAGACATCTGGTTGACCCTAAGGGTCCGTGTGCCCAAATAGTATATACATTGGCCCTAAAGTCCTTATACAGGGACTACATTAAGGCCAAAGTATATAGTATTTGGGTACATGGACCCTTATAGGGTCATGGAATTCAATGGCATTGCGCTCCAAGGTGCAACAGAACAAGCCCGATCTATATACAGGTAAAGGGGGAACCTGAAAAATCCGATTTGTCACGTCTGCTGGGGCTGTTTTGCAACCATACCAGGACTGCAAACCCAAACCCTAAACTCAAAACACTAAACCCCAAAACCCTATAAACCTTAAACCTGTCACCCGTAAACCCTGAACCCCTAAACCCAAAAAATCCTAAGCCGGCGTTGATGGGTTGAGAATGCTGGGCTCACAGGGCCCCAGCCCAGCCCCGAACGTGTTTAGGGGTTGAAGGTTTAGGGCTTCCTACGACGAGGATCTGGGCACTTAGCAAGTGGTGTTGCCCTAAGGCTCAAAACTGCCCACAAACCTTATATAGTCTGGTCTTGGGGCCCAGATATAAGTCCTTAGAGCCTTACTTGGAGGCCCAGGGGACTTAGTAAGTCGGTTATAAGTAGGGTTATAATTGGGGTAACTACAGTTAGGGTACTTATAACTCTACTTATAAACTACTTACTAAGTCCCCTGGGCCTCCAAGTAAGGTTGTGCAGCTAGACGTAAGCCATACTTTACCCGTGCCATATTTGAAGCAGCCTCTTTTAATTTCAACTGTGCCTAACAGCTACTGCATCCTTCACCAACAGCCAAAACCGAAGGCTCGACGAACAGCGAACACGGGCACGGTGGCTACTGTAGGCTCACCCTCAACCCTGCCCTCAGGGTCCATGTACCCGAATAGCATATAATGTAGTCCCTATACAAGTACTTTAGGGCCAATGTATATACTATTTGGGTCCCTGGACCCTTAGGGCTGAGAACCCCCACCCTCGTCCCCCCGCTAACCCTGCATCCCAGGCCACAGCTTCGGCCTGGGGTACAGTTGCCATTGACACGGCCATTCGCACCAGCAGGCTCCTCGAGGTCAGGTTTTGGAGTTTAGGGCTAGGTTTTAGGGTTTAGGGTTTAGGATTTAGGGTTTAGGGTTTAGGGTTTAGGGTTTACCCTCTACTCCTCAAACCTTCTGCGGGCCTCTGTGGGACGGGGTTCTTCCAAGGGTTGCTATAGCCCTAGGCCCAACAAAGCTCACAACTCCATCTGTATAGGTACGTATGTATGCATATATGAATGAATGACTTCATATGTATGTGTGTGTATATATATATATATACATGTATACTTCCAACATCCTTGAAGGAATATACCTTAAACTCTAGTGACTCTAGTAGGATCCCTAATATGATTTCAGGTCTATTCCTTAGAAATGAAAGGATTTTGAAAGATCTCGGCTCTTAAGGAACCCGTGCCACCCTAAACCCGAGACCCTAAACCCCAAACCCTAAACCCTAAACCCCACACCCTAACCTTTTTTAAGGTTGAAACCATGGGCCATGGGCCCCTAGTATGGGCCCTTAACCCTGGGATCCTTCTACACCTACTCTATACCCTATATGTACCCTTAAGAGTCCCTGGAAAGGCCTAAAGGTCCATATTAGGGGCCCATACTTCTAACCTTTCAACCTTTCCAAGTCTGTTCGTCTTAGCCCGGGCCCCGGGCCGTGGCGGCTGCAGCCATGCTTTCATGCCGCAGCAGGCACCCGAAGGCCCATAATGCGGAAAATCCCCTAGCTCAAGGGAGGAAAAACACTGCACGTGTGGGCCCCTAGGGACTAAGACTTTAGCAGTCCATGTGATTGTATGTTATAGTATACTCTGGAATAATGAAGTATCTTATGCTGTACTGTACTATAGCAGAGACTATTCGAGGGGTTGGGGTTGAGTCGGTTGAGTGGTACTGGGCCGAGATCCCACTGCTTGGCATCCAAATGAAACAGGGATGCAATTCACTGGGTACCGACCGCATGTCAAAGCAATATGATGCCTGCAGCATGGAAACCGTCTTAAACCCTAGACATTATACGCCAGAAATTCAAGGGTCGTCTCTCTCGACTACTGGAAGTGGGTTTTGGGTTGTTGCGTGGGGCATGCATCTAGACGAGAGTTCACGCACCATGTGCTGCCTGCTTGTGGCAGGATGTCCTGTGTCACAGCAGCTTCGAGCCACAACCACCGGATCATCACTTGCAAAGTCCGCACCTCTGACTGGTGGTTGTTGTGGTGCAAAAGTTGAATCACTTCGTGTTCACCTTTGCAGCCTGCACCGTTAAGTGTAGAGATTCGTGAAGCCCCTGAAACAAGGACGTCCCTTAAAACTGTAGCGCCGATCTATACTTCAAACACTGCTTCGGGTATAGAAACTGTCTTGCTCGGTCCTCGGACACCTGAATCAAGACTTGTCGAGATGTGTAGTAGCATGCAAAGGCGATAGCTTAGGGTTTAGGCTTTTGCTAGTCTTGTCTCAGGTTCGGAACGTGTTCATAACCCTAAGGGGACGATGCACCCGTGCATGATGATTATACTTGGACCCTGTAGACCTACGTACAGAGGAATAGTCTCCATAGGTACATGGACTCTCAGGGTACATACAGAGTGCAGCAACTGTCCGTACCCCTCGCCTACGACCCTGGCATCGCACAAAATCAGATTCAACCGACAACAGAGCATGAAATATAGGCTTTAGGGTGTTGGGGTAAGAGTTCAGGGCCCTCAAACCAAAGAGAAAACTGAAACCCAAACTCCTATGGCCCGAGGCCCTACAGCGTCTGCTGCCTTCCGCACACTGTAATCGATCAGGAGCACCTGCCAGGCGAAGCATGTAGCCAAAAGCTGTTTAGCCCGGTGTAGATAGAGCAGGTTTAGGGTGTCGAAAGTCGAAACAGGCGAAGTTTCCTTGTTGGATTTGAGGGATTAGGGTGGAGGGGTTTTGCTGTCTAATCAGGGCTTAAAGTTTAGGGGTCTGGGGGAAATACGCGGCCAGCAGCCACTAAGATTGAAATCAATGGGAGAACTCCGAGTAAAGCTACTATTGCTGTTGCCTGTATTTCGGTTGCTACGAGTTGGAAACGACGCACTGATCAATAACCACGCCTACTCGTCTTCAGCGTAGCGTAGCAAACAGTTCGTCATTTGTCGCTAGTTACTGCGATAGGATTGCTATTCAGCTAATGGCTTTTATAAATAAATGTGCCTTTACGGGTAAGAGTATATTGTAGGGGCCTTAATAATTAGACTAGTTTTTTTGGGGGGGTATCTTATACTATAGTTTGAATAAGGAACCCCCACAATAGTGTAGGTAACCATTGAGGCCCCTACATTAAGCATTCCACTTTTCGATCTCTACGCACTGCAACTGCAAACCATGCTGCAAGCCACCAGAACCCTTGCCAAAAGGGTCCATATATACTACTATGATGAAATTAGGCCCCGGAAACCACAATAAGGATCGTCTTTTGGGACCTAATTCCATGATGGTAATGCATATGGACCCTCTGGGTTGTTTTGCAGTTTCAATTGGGCTCAGCTTAAAACCCATTCGAAAGCTGGAGTGTGGAAAGCTCCGCAAAACATGAAGGTGCATCCCTGCATGTTCCATGTATGCATAGTAGCATTTGGGAACATAGTTGGGTTCAGGTTGCAGCCTGGCGTAGTACATTATGATGTGATTAGCAGGTACTGAAGCCTAGAACGTTGGGTCAGAATCAAGGGTTCGATTGTCGCTGCAGGCACCACCACGAAATCCCAAGGACCAGCAGAAAAATCCGGCCCTAAACCCGTAAAGCAGTAGGCCACTGAAGTCCTCACCCCAGAGCACCAACCTCCCTACCACAATCCCAAGAACCTGACCGACGTATCAGTCAAAAATAAGCCAGGAAAGCAGTGACAGGAATCATGTCCACGTCTCCTCGGCCGGGAGTGGTAGTAGTAGTAGTAGTAGTAGTTAAGTTGTAGTAATAGTAGTAGTAGCAGTAGTAGTAGTAGTAGTAGTAGTAGTAGTAGTAGTAGGCGCCCCCCCTACCAACCACCTCTGCT